ATACTATCTCTCTCTCTCTCTCTCTCTCTCTCTCTCTCTCTCTCTCTTTCTATCTTTCTCTTTCCCCCTCTCCCTCTTTCCCCTCTGTAATAGATCGTATTACGGGGATGTTCCGTAGGTATTGTGAACACATGTTCCGTGTGATGCCGGCGTGGCATGGAGACCCTCCTAACCATTCTCTCCCCCTCTCCTCTTCCCACCTCTGCCCTCTCTCCCCGTCTCTGCCCCTTTCCCTCTCCCCTCTCTCTGTAATACCTCTATCACATCACATGGAGTGTTCCGTAACTCGTTTGAGCACACGTTGCGTGTCATACGGCGCGGCAGAGAGACGCTCCTCACACCCTCTCCCCCTCCTTCCCCCCTCTCCCCCTCTCCCTCTCTCCTCTCTCTCTATAGTACCTCTATCTTATTACAGCGGGTGTTCCGTAACTCGTGCGAGCAGTGGCACCAGAGATGCCAACCACTACGATTTATTCATATTTTATACGAATTTCTATTCCTTTTGCACCACTACGACCAGTTTGTATCAAACTACGAATTTCACTGATGGGGGAAAAATAATTTTGGTCAATTATTGTCATTTTTTGTCAATTTATTGTCATTTTTGACCCTCAGAATGCAGGAAATTCTGAGTTTTCTGGGGTGCATGCCGGACCCCCTAGCAAACTCGAGTCACTACGTGACCCTCAAACTACTAATTTGATGGCCAGAAACTACAGATTGCTTCAAATATGTGTTGGCATCTCTGGAGCACGTGTTGCGCGTGATGCGGCGAAGCATGGAGACGCTGCTCACTTCATTCTCCCCCTCTCCCCCTCTCCCTCTCTCCTCTCTCTCTATATAGTACCTCTATCTTATTACAGGGTGTGTTCCGTAACTCGTGCGAGCACGTGTTACGCGTCATGCGGCGAGGCAGAGAGACCCTGCTCACTTTGCTCGAGGCGTTCGTCTACGACCCGCTCGTCGACTGGACGACGGGAAACGACGCCGGATACGCGGGCGCCTTCTACGGCGGAGGACCCGTCGCCGCGGCGACCGATGGCAAGCAGAGCAAGCGCGTCATGGAGCGCGAGATCACGTTCAGCATGTTCTCGATACGCGTCGCCGAGATGCGCACAGCCTGGCTGAAGAACCGGTGAGTGAGGGGGCGGGGCGGGGAGGGAGGAGGAAGCGAAGAGGGGGAAGGAAGAGGAGGAGGAGGAGGAGGAGGCGGAGGAGGGGAGGGGAGGTCACCTTCAGCATGTTCTCGATACGCGTCGCCGAGATGCGCACAGCCTGGCTGAAGAACCGGTGAGTGAGGGTTGCGGGGGAGAGGAAGAAGAGGAGAAGAGGGGGAGGAGGAGGAGGAGGAAGATGGGGAGGGGGAGAGGGGAAGGAGTGGGAGTTGGTGAAAAGAGACAGAGTTGTGTAGAGATGAGGAAGTGGACAGGGAAACACGGCTCTCGTCACACATACCACCGCAATACAGACACAATCACCAAACTTGTTGTTTTACCTATAGATGGCTCTGCTTGTTCGTCCTCAATGGGTGTTGCTATCCCCGGGCGTGGAGGGACGGTCCCGCAACGTGGCAGCACTAGTGTTAGGATTAGGGTTAGGATCAGGGTTAGGGTTAGGGTCAGGGTTAGGGTTAGGGTTAGGGTTTTTGCATCATGATATCTGTCCCCACACCATTAATTTTTGTGGATGACACCCTTATATAGAGATCCGATATATAGATATTTAATGGTAGGGGTAGTTTTGGAGTTAAGGTTATGGTTACTGTTACGTTTTGAAGTATACGTCAACTGTATCACGTTACCGTCCTTCCACGCCCGGGGGATAGCAACACCTGTCCTCAATATTCACTCGTGATGAAGTTACATAACTGACACCTTTAGTGATTTAGCGTTTCCGCCACTATCCATCTGGATTGTTTAATTCTCACGTCAAAAATTATTAATCAAACTTCGAATTAATTTGTTGTCGTGTACAACAGGATATTAATTCGTGTCGAATCGAGCAATAACAAAAATGTTTCCTGCGAAGTGATTCTTCATCGTTTAGATGCGGACCATTAAAAATTATCATGGCTCGCAAACAGGATGCCGTACTCCTGATGTTAATGTGTACGCGTGTGCATGCGTGTGCGTGTGTGCGCGTGTGAGTGTGCGTGCACTCGTGTGCATGCGTATGTGTGTGTGTTTGTGCGCGTGCGCGTGTGCGTGTGTCGTGCGCGTGCGTCTGCATGTACGTGCGTACGCGCGTGTGTGCATTTATGTCTTGTTGTACGTGCGCATGTGTGTGTGTATCACTGTATGTGCTTGTGTGCGCGCACGTTTGCGTGTAAGTGCAGGTTGTTTGATATGTGTGATATTGTGCGTGTAACAGGGATGAGATGGAGACAGCCTTACCACGGCTCAGCGACCTTGTACAGGATCAGCTGTCAACGCAACAGAGCTGTGAGAAACTGAGCTGCCAGGTGGCAGCACTGAAGCAGCAGACGCTGATGCTCGAGGAGGCGTGTGCAGACAAAGGCAGCGCCCTCTATACGCTAGCAGAGAGGTAGGCAGCGATGTGTGTGAAATTTGATAATACAGTTTATTTTTAGTTTTATTACAGAATTACTGACGAGGGAATAACAGCGCATTTAACACGCACTCACTCCAACCTACATGTACAAGTTCACCAAGTACACATCAACAAGAATGACGTATTTCACAAAATCCACGTTAAGTCAATTTTCGTTTGTATGACATTAATCTCCATTCCCAGGTTTGTGGTTGCTACACTTTAGCAGCTATGTTCTAAGCAAGACAGCCCGTAGTTGCCAGGATAGATTTAGTTAGCCATGTTAGACCATTATAGGACATAGTGGCGCCCTCTAGTAAAGCAAAATGCAATCTGGTCGAGCACAGCTAATGATTATGAAACTTGATCCTGAGGTTGCAAAACATTTTCTATATTACCGAGAGTTTGATAGCAGTGGATATATCTGAACATTCGATTCATTAGTAATGTTGATTGGTTATGTCATCTCTAGCGACTTTCGCTTTTTTTCGGTGGAAAATTCATGGTGGCAACGGACCATATTATTTCTCGGATTCTCATCTTCCGATGACCATTATCTCTACGGGATGTATCGTCATGCCGACACGTCGTTCTTGCGTGCCGTCGCCGTGGCGACAGACGATTCTTCAGCTATGGTCGCCTGGAGAGAACCGCATTCTCGGTTCTGTATCCTTGGCGCGGGAATCTCGTGATCACAGCCTCGTGACGGTCAGTCTTATCACCGGACGCTCCACGGCCGCTTCCGTCGCGCGGTCACTCGCGCCGGTCAAGGAACTGGA